AGGCATATAACTGAAAAACTGGTGGAAAACGACTGAAACGAACGATATGATACAGAATTGTCGTTCGTCGGGAGAAAAAAAAACAAAAACGGGCTGACGCCGCGCCAAACTCATTTCACCTGAGATGCCCTATCATTCGCAGTAAACTAGACTGTATATTAGGGGGGGGGAGTGAATACCAAATTGATACCAGTCAATGTTTGTAGAAACGCTCCGTCTATTCTCGTAAAGAATGTCTCTTAACTTTCGTAAGAATAGGAACACTACGATGGGAAGTAGCGAGGTGCAAAGTGCGCCCCCCCCCTCTAGGCCGTACTGTGACCGAATTTTGAATGCTTGTAAGCTTTTTAGCCTGTTCTGTTTACATCCACTCCTGGCACAACGACTGTACTCATTCCCAGACACACATTTGTACACTGGCACACCGACCCCGCCCCTTTAGCAACTATGACAAGCTCCGCCCAGCTGGTTCAAAAGTGTTGAATTTGAAATGGAAATGGCATTTTCATTTACAATGAATCATGACTATACCGCTTCCTGGATCTTACGGTTAGTACACAATTAATTAATTACATCCGATTGTCCTGTATAGGAACATTTGATTATTAATTATTGATAATTCTTCATAAGTTGACTGCTCAAACCAGCACTTTTCGTGTCGAGGCAAAACCAACAGAAATACCTTGTGACCGCTTGCTCCACCACCAGAGACTGCTATGAGGTTGTCACGAACGAAATCTGTCAGTAGATATTTCTTGACGGTAGTCATAATACGTTGGAAATCCATTGCAGTGATAGCACCATCTCCTTTCTTATCATATCTTGAAAGCAGGTTATCACTCGAAAAGGTATAGATGATGATAGAAAGTAATAGTTAGTGGTAACCAATGATAATCAATAACAGCAAAATACAGCAACAATTGAAAACGACTGCAATGAAAGAATGCAAAATGGCTGTTCTAATTCAAGGAGAATACAAAAAATCTCACCTCTTGAACGCCTGAATACCTTGCTCTTCGTAGAAATCGTGTAGAAGTTGGGTAAAAGCATGGTAACCAATGCTTCTCTTTTTGTCACTGAAATCTCTCAAGAATTCAAAGCAACAGCAACTCAATTGGGAACGTTTTTCAATTTTATCACAAGAATGCTGAGTTGTGGGCAAAAGTCGGACCACGGGCGGGACTCGAACCCGCATCTTCTGCTTACCGGGCAGTTGCGTTACCACTTACGCTACCGGGGCCACTTTTGACCTCTCACCAGGAAAGGTCAACAGGTCAGCCTGGCCATTTGCAATGAAATGCATATCGTTGTACCCGTCTTGAGACGGTGAACTCAAAACTATCTTCAAAATTTGCGGAACGATTCTCTGAGCGGGAGTTAGAGAGGTTTTTCTTCACTGTTTTTCTTCCTTTCCCATGGCGCGCGCTGTGGCCGCCGAAGCGTTGGCACCTGTAGCGCGACTCACAGCGCTCCTCGCGCAAAATAGGTATCATATTCGTATTCAGGGGGTCAAATAACCCCTAGAGACGAGACCTCAGCGAAATCTGAGGTTCTGGCTCAACTTCAAAAAAATGGGGTATGGATAGTCATGGCTGACTGATAGCTAACAGCGATACTATGACTAGCATACTGGTGATGACTGGGCTTCGAACTGAAATAACTCTTCAGTCATGTCTTTTTGTGAACAACAGTACCTGCTATTTGTGCCCCGTCTGCCCAAGCATTTCTTTACCATCGGCGCGAGGGAAATTCCATTTCCGAGACCAGTCGCGTATGGTATGGTGTCAAGCCTCCAACCTGCTGCTAATTTAACCCATCGAAAGTAGCGCCCACATTTTCCAAGTGAGGTCGAAAAATCAGATTCGGTTAGAAACTTGTCCCTAGGGGTAATTTAACCCGCTGAACATGAATATGATGGTATTTCATTGCAAAAACCCTTCGTGACACGTGTTACGAGGGGTACAAGCAGAAGCACAAAAAAACTTTTTTTTTTCCTTTTTTTTCCAAGGGGCCACAATGAGTCTACACTTCAAAAAAAAAAACTGGTCGCACGTTCCCTTAGGTAAGCGTAGCTGGCAGTGCGAGCAGAAGATGTTAAGAACGCTTTGTTCAGGCTATGTCCTTGGGACTAAATGCAAAAAAACAACCGCCCTTATTCCGGCCTCGCCTAAGAAACCCGCTCCCTACCCGTTGCGCTCTACTACCACGTTTCAGCATGACTCCATACATAAATGTAAAGACGCTTCCACGTTTCCTCGCGATAGCACATGAAACGACCACGCGGTATAAGACCTCTCAAACTCCCTTACAGAGAATCGCTTCGCCAAATCTTGCAAGCGGAGAATTTTGAGTTTCACTGTCCAAGACGCATATAACGGTGTTGCAGCCTCATTTGGGAAAATGGCAGCTGAACCTGTTGACCTTTCCTGGTCAGCTCAATGGCTATTTGTGCCATTGCCTTCGAGCACTCACACGTTCAACGTGATGAGCCGGTTAGCCGATATCGGCAGTGAACCGCAAGGCTGAAGGCTTTTTACAAGTTTTAGACTGTTTTTGTTGATAACTGCTGTTTTAACGCCGCAGTGCGCGATACGAAAGTTATCACAAGAATGCTGAGTTGTGGGCAAAAGTCGGACCACGGGCGGGACTCGAACCCGCATCTTCTGCTTACCGGGCAGTTGCGTTACCACTTACGCTACCGGGGCCACTTTTGACCTCTCAGCTCAATGGCTATTTGTGCCATTGCCTTCGAGCTCACTGTAATCCAAAATCGCCATGTGAAATCAGGCGCGCACATCGCTTACTTCGCCGCGGGATCCTCGCCGCGGATCTCTTACCCAGCCCTAGACCATTAGAAAACAATTTCGAATAAAAACTCTGGATAGTGCGTTAAGAAATTGGGGGAACATAGGAAAAAGCTTAGAATATTATGGTGGTGGTGGATGGAGAAGTGAAGGGGTGTACCAGAGGAGCGGTAATCGGGGGTGGGGGTCTTATCAGAGGGAGGGAACTAGGAAGCGGGAAGGGAAACGTGTCAAGGATAAAACGATAAAGATCTTCGCCGATCTTACATCAAACCACTTTTGGAATGCGGCAACGCATTCTACTATCCCATTCAGAATCGTAAGCCGCTTATTAAATGCAAATAGTGACCTTATACAATAGAGCCTGCGAGCAGACCAGCCGCTGCACAGTCAGTGTTCTTATCCTCCCGGACAAACCTGGTACCAGTTTACTGTTCCCGAAATGCAGGAGGCATGGTTAACCTGGGCACGAGCCGATCCGCGAATTGACCCTCGGACCGCTGCGCTTGGTAAGCGTGTCACTTGCCACTACACCACCTTCGCTGCAACTGAAAACCTGATCAGCCTGCGTTTCTAACTCTGTTCGCCAGACTGCTTCCGTGCATCGTTTTTTGCTTAAAAACCATTCACCAACGCGTATGAACAGCATCGCGTGGATATAGGGATGAAGGCGACAAGATAAGCGTTGATTTTTCATAAAAAGCGATTTCATACAAGCCTGGCTCCGGAAGGTCACTAGATGTGGGAAATGCCATATTCAAAGTCTTCCGATGCTAAAGGGCGTGGAATGCATGGCTTATCCCAAAAAAGGATGAATCGACGCCGTGCGCTTTATACTTCATCCTTTATGCCTCACCTTATAATGCCGATATTAGACGAGATTAACTTACGCGCCAAAATACTTCTTGATAAACTCCGAGTTGAAATCAAAGTCCATGTGATAAAGCGGTTCTGTATGTCGAATGACCGCCTCGAATTCATCGCAGGTGATTGAGTCGCTGGCATTCCGATCGAAAAGTTCAAATGCAGTCAGGTAAAGAGCATCAGGGCTGGAAGCAGCAATAAATCGACTATAGTCTCTGATTAGAAAATGCCGAGAAATAATGGTAAGAGACTGTTTGGGGAGCACCAAAGAAGTGCGCTTACCTGCAGAGAAGTGCCTCAAAAGCGCAAAACTCTTCAAACGAGATGTCACCATCTTTTGTGGTGTCGGCAGCAGAGGCGAGCATTCGTACAGTTTCGCGGTTATAGTTCTCCTCTGTGTACAGCCCGAGGTATCTGAAGGCATTAAATACAACATAGAAAGATCGCAAAAGATGGTGAATATTGAGAGGTTTGTTTAAAGTAATCTACTGTAACCTACACGGCACAAAAGGTAAAGGAGGCGTTGACCATTCGGTCGAGACTGTGCCGCAGACCTTCCAGGACATCCGATATGCGGTCGTCGCGCGAGAGGTAGCTTGGATATTCAACATCGCAGCGACTTGAAGGCGCAACATTGTTTCAGCTCGGACCTCCTGACCCAAATTCGCTCCATTATATGATCTTGCCCCTGCCCTCCTTCCCCCTCTCCCCTCCCTCACTCCCACCTCGATCACCGACCGCAGTTACAGCCGGGACCGTAATTGCAATGCACTAGCGCAAATGACAAATGTCAAAACTGTGGATTTAAAGTGAAACACAATAGGACTCCAATGACTCCGTTGATGGTGCATTCCACGATGACTGGATGGGCGGAGAACCACAACCACTAATTCCTCCTTTTGGACCACTGAACCCTAGTTCCGATACGGTGAAGAAGAGGAGTGCGCGAATGAGAAATGCACAATTGCTATGGCTCTCCCATATGATATCCCAGCCATCGCCCTTCACGGAATACCCACAAACAAACCACAGGACCAAAGTAAGGCGCTATCCTTCCTTTCCTGTATGGAAACATCGATATGGTTATCCCTTGGCGATGCTCTTTCGGAACAGAGCAGCCAATAAATGTCATTCCGAACGATGTCCAATTTCCCTTACCATAACCCTTTTCAGAGCTTTCCTAACAAAG